CTGCCATGATCCATCACATCAACAAGAAGGACTGGCCCGAGTTGGATTGTGACATCGCTTATCAGAAACAGGTATGTAGCTTCAGTGAACCTCTTATGTGTACTCCTGATTCCAGAGAGCTCGATTCGATCGATTCTTTTCCCAAAAAGGATTCTGCGATAATATAGATGATGCCATTGCTGTGTTGTGCCCCGAGAAACCAGCGTCAAGAAGCTCCCGTGGATATGCTTAATCACCATCCCAAATGTATAGAATCCCAAAACACCATAATGTATTCTGATTCAAAAGAACTAACCAAATGTTCAAGGAACCTCCCTCTCTAATAATTTGTAAACATTCTTCTTGATGCTTAATTCTGTGATTAGACGATTTGACCATGTTGTTTTCCAGCCAAATTCGGTTCTTCCGCATTTCATCACCATTTATTTAGAGATCGTGTAGTGTTCAGATCTTCACGTACTTTATTTCCCAGAATAGAATATTCATGCGCATTCATATCTCCTTAAATGTTTCTGTCACTTCTTAGATTTGTTTGAGATTTGTTCTTTTCAAATAAAATTTTGAGTTTCATCTCTTCGTACCTGTTCTGAGTCGATGTCCCTGTGATACCTCCAGACTGAGTATCAGTCTCAGCCATCATAGTTTTCTCAGTTTAATGAAATATGTCGAATTATTGACCTTATTTCAAACTGAAACAAGGTCTTCAGGTTAAGGCATCCGAACCTGCAATGAGGTTCAGATGAGTTTCTTGAAACATATTTCACAAAGTTCTTTTCTGATAGAGTGTAGAAGTAGAAACTCGGAAGGTCAAAGTATATACGATGTTCTTTAATCTGATATGATCTTTCTCCATAACTTCCTTAATTAAGATGACAGGAAGGTCGACAACGATACACTTAAGTGCTCAAGAAGGCTTTTTCAAAGGAATTTCGTACTTATGACGAGGGAAGTAGGTTAGTGAAAGAAAAAACATGAATTTTATAAATTTGTTTCCAAGGAACAAGATGGTCATCAGCGTGTTTTCAGAGTGACGGTCAAACAGCAACGGTCAGCTGAATGTGCTTGTCGGTATCCAGATAAGGTAAAAATCAAGAAGACAGGTGGGAATTTTAGATTTGAGTACAAAGATGAGATGTTCTGATTAATGACTTTTAATTCGCGAATCATACAAACCTTTTGTTCACTTCCCCTCTCTCCTGTTGCATACCTTCTTTCTCGAAGCTCCTTCTCCAGTTTCAGAATCTTCTTGTTCGTCCACATCTTATCTGGGAAAATAGGAATCTCATTCACTATTCCTAAATTCCTTGACTTCCTCTTCTTGGCTTCTCCATCAATGCATCAGTTCTTATGGTGAAGACTGAAATGAAATCTTTAACGATGTTTTGTACACGACCATATCATTTTGGTTATCGTATATTCACGTCTCATCTCATTCATAACCATTCCACGTCTGAGTTGATATTCCTTGAAGCCTAGAAATGGCTTGTTTCTGAGAATTCACATCGGTGTTTTCAGTTCAAGAATGCAAGTGGTGATTATCCATCCAGAACAATGGAATGGTGGATCGGACCGATGTAGTGTTGCTCTTCTGAATCATTTTGTCTCTCAGGGACACCAAGTTATCTGGTTAACAACTATGATCGACGATTATTGGAAAGATCACAAGTTCGAGGGTGTTGGTAGGTTCTTGAGCGAAGTTCATATGATTTCTTCGTTTCACAGAAATTCGAAATTTGGACATGCGTCTCCATCCTGGAGATTGGTGGAGTCAGAACGTTGCTCTTGGCTGGCACATGATGAGAAGTGATTTGAACCCAGATGTCTGTGTGATCGATCACTCAGCCAGGTAGAAAAGCTTGTGTCCATCATCTTACTATAGAGTTTCAGTTGTGTTCCTATGATCAAGTACCGCTTCCCAAAATGCAAAATTCTGTTTTATTGTCATTTCCCACAACAGCTGGTTACTCCTTCTAGATTTTTCTTGTACAGGTACTTGTCCTATTCTCATACTGTCAGTGCATCAGTTTACTCTGCAGATGGTACTCTAAGATTATTGGAACCATTGAGAGCATGATGTTCGAGCAAGTTGATTGCATAATGGTCAACAGTCATTTCACTGGTAGGCTCACATTTTGCTGAAGCTTGAAGACAGTTAGACTTTAGCTTCGCACTTCCATAGAGTGATGCCCCAGATACCGAATGAAAAAGTGAAGGTTGTTTATCCCCCTTGCGATGTGGATGCTAACATTTCGGTTTGTATTACATTCCCAGAAGCTGACATTATTTTCTTTCCAGGCTTCAGTTGCAATCAGTAGGAGAGCCCGTCCCGCTAATGCTAAGTATACTTTCATGTCCATGAACAGATTCTGGCCGGAAAAACGTTTGGATATTATTGTTATAGCTGCCGGTGAGTTCATGTCGTACGGTTCTCACACACTTGTCATTGTTCCAGCCATTTTAAAAAAGGAAGGTCACAAGTTCCTAGTTCAAATCGCTGGATCAGTAATGCCTCTTATTCCTGAAAGTAAAATATATTATGAACTATTGAAACAAATGATACAGGTACGTTGTCGTGTCTTAATCGTTATGATGTAACCTCCAACTACAGGATTTGGAAGTCGAAGATGTTGTACAATTGATTGCTTCACCCACGGAAGTGGAGAAGTTCGCCTTATTCAGAGCATGCGATTCAGCTCTATATACGCCTCCCGATGAACACTTTGGAATTGTCCCTATTGAGGTAGACCCGGCTTGCCGACAAGTCTTAAGAAAGATCTTTGAAGGCTCTTGATCAACGCCGACCTGTGATAGTTTGTGATAGTGGTGGACCTGCCGAGACAGTTATCGAAGATGTTACGGGTAGCAAAGTAAGAACAACTTATTTTTATTCTGCTCAAGGATTCATTTCAGATAGAGTCTCCCACTGGTGAGCATCTAGCTGCTGCC